AGCCACCACCCTTCCCTGCCAGGTTTCTGTCGGGATTCTGCTCTGGGATTTGGGCCCGAGCACCTGCCGCGTGGCTACCATGCTACCTCATTGCCTAATTCCCCCTGGTGAAGGCTGATGCCCACCGAGCGGAGCATCCCATGGTGAGGTGGTGCCCTGAACCCACCTAGCCCATATGTCAGGAGTTCCGTGCACCCCTCCACAAGGCCTAGCTTTCGGGAAACCTTCCCTCAAGCCAGCAGCCTGTCTCCATCGTGGCAGCTGTCAGCTTCCAGCGTTGTCTGTTGCACAAAAACAAGGGCAGGGAAGGTTACCAGCTACTCCCTACCAGGAGGCTCCGGGCCACTCCCCTCCCCCTTATTCCTGGCTGGGGCTCAGTGGCTCTGTCTGAGACTATACATGTGTCATCTCTCTGGGGACCTCCTCATGGAGTGGTCAGTGCTAGAGTCCTTCCCGAAGTGCCTGAGTCAGCAGGGGTTTGGGGGAGGGCTTGTTAAACTTGGCCCAGGATCTGAGTCCTGTCCAGGGCTTTGTAATCTGCAGAGGAGACCCACCAAGAGGTCTCAGCAGCAGCTGGCATGTCCCAAGGATGCGAACGACCAACTCAAAACTCATCTCTGGGGTCTCAGGTTTGCCTCTCTAGCAGGCTGGTATCCCTGCACCACAGGGCCCCAACCTAGCCCACACACCAGGTGACCATCGTTAGTCTGGGGGCCACGTGCTCCAGTGGAAAGAGTTCTAGGTTCGGATCTTGACCCTGCTGCCTCCTGGCTGTGCACCATTGGGCAAAACACTTAACCTCTCTGAGCCTCAGTTTTCTCATCTATTAAACGGGTACGATGTACCTATCTTGCAGGCTATTCTCAGATTTAAATGAGATCAAGAATTGAGGCACTTGGCACAGAGCCTGGCACATAGCAGGAACTCAAAAAAGAGAGGTCCTTTCCACGTTTCCCTGTAGAGGATGGGAACAGCTCATCTCAAACCACCTGGCCCTCCGAGAGGCTGCTAGTTTACAAAAGACGGCATTGTTGTGTCCGTGTGACATCTCGCCACTCTCTCTCCTCTCTCCCCTCTCTCCCCGCTCCAGGCTGTGACCTTTGGACAAAGGGATGGCCACAGCTCCCGAGCCACCTCTCCTTCCCTGCTCTGTCCTCTGCTAGCTCCGGAGGCCAGAGGCTCACCGTCAGAGGGGACAGACCCCGGCCGGCCTGGGAGCACTGCACGACTAAGCTCAGTGGCTTTCCTGTACCCCAGACCTGTGACCTTTTGCCCGGGAAGGGTTGGGGACCCCTGAGCTGGGACTTCATGGGACCAGCCAGGGAGACGCGGAGCTGATGAGAAGGTGTGGGGCGGGTCAGAGAGGAGGGCTGCAAACCCAGCGCGGAGGCCGGGCTGCGGGCGCCGGGCCGGGGCCACGGGAGCAGCTCGCGGGACCGGGCGCGGCACCTGTGCGCACAGTGTGTCTCCGAGCGCGACGCTGTCCCCTCTCCGTGCCCCTTGATGAGCAAGAGCGAGGCTGCCTCGGCTCCAGGGCGCAGCCTCGGCTGCTCTGGTCTCCGTGCGGTGGGTCCCAGCTGCGCTCTCAGGGAACATGGTTGGGGACGCAGAGCTGAGCGCCAACGAAGCCGAGGCTCGGGGGCCAAGACCTGGGCAGAGGGACTGAGCCGTCTCTGTAAACACCTGATCTCAGAGGCCCCACCCCAAGCCTGCGGTGGTTTGTGGCCCCTCCTCACACGGCTCCGAGGTGCAGCCAAACACCCTTGCATGTCTCTGAGCTCTGGGTCTCTCTGGGCTCAGGTTCCCCGACCTTCTACTCCTGTTCTGTGAGAGCATCGTCCCTGTGCCCCAACCCTGCCCCTGCCCTTTGGAAAGCACAGTGGCTCCCTAGCCAGGATGACGTCTGGGGCTCCTTCTAGCTCCCCTTCATCCGCGACACCCCCTGAAGCCTGGGCCCTGAGAACTGGGGCTCTGGGGAAGAGGGTTCAAGGACGTCCTTTCCCCTTCCCTCTGCTTTGGCACTTAACACCAGCTAAGGTTGTCGACCACAGTGGCAGATGCGGGTTCCTGGGATGCGCGTGTGTTGGGCCCTGGGGCTACACACAGCATCCCGTTTGCAAAGGGTTTCCTCTCCCCTTCACCCTGAAAAAGTGCCGCTGGGACGGCGAGGAGAGAGGCTGTTTGCAGAGGTTCTGTCTGGTGCTGAGGCCCGGGGTGGCTTCCCCGTTAGAGGTCTGTTCTGTCTGCTCAGTGCCCCCGTGCTCTGTCTCCCGCCTCATGCCCACCTGGGCCAGTGGCCTTTCCCCTCCCCCTACCTTGGGGTCAAGAGTTCTTGCCACAGGAAGGATGCTGGGGGCAGGCCATGTGTGCAGAGTGGGAGGGATGTCCCACATCTCGTAAGGGCAGGTCTTACATTCCTGAAGCCCTGGACACGGTTCATCTGATCTGGCATTAAAGGGGAGCCTGTCCCCCAGGCGGGCAGCAGGCGGCATGCCCAGGGGGCCCCACCGCCCGACTGAACTTCCTGGGCACTGCCCAGCTTGCGTTTCTCCGGGCTGCCACCTTATCCAGACGCCTCCCTTCCAGAGAGGGGAGTCCCACTTCAGACACCC